GCTGCCCAGTCCTAAGAGGATAAACTAGAAATGTCAAGTGAAGCTACCTTTGGGCATACTCTATGTTCTTGGTAGGAGAAACTGAGAAAGAAGCAAATGTGTGGTAGAAGCTAGGTGCCAGGATGTTTATGCCTGGGAGCAGCGCTCAGTGGGAGAAAGCATGAGGGAGCGCTCATCTGTCCGCCATACACACGTGCTTGCAGGCATGAACACACATAGCCCAAACCAAGAATGCACAGATACACCCCCATGTCCACGCTGAGCTCAGAGCTCCCAGGCTCCATCACAGCATCTACCCAGTGTCAGGAGCTTTGAGCTAAGTGACGGTGTAGGTGACCCGCACGTCAGCTGCTTTTGCTTTGGGCTGAAGTCCTCACTTAAAAACTCAACACCACACAAAGCCTTCTTTTATACATGCAGAGTCTAAGGGACTTTAAAATTATAGCAGTGGAAAGTGATTTATTTCCCTGGATTAAAGGTCAGCTCAGTGTAAGGACTCTGGAGCAAAACAACAATATAAACTTCTATTCACTCATTAGTGCTATGTAGAACAACTTATCAAAAGCGGTAAGAGATGGAGGGAGATGGAGACAGAGAAAGAAAAACAGAGAGACAGAAACAGAGACATGAGGGAGAATGAGATGAGAGGGAGAAACTGGGGGAGAGACAGGGAGATAGGCAGGATAATGCGAAGGTTGCAGCTCTCAGGCACAGACCACCACGATGTGACCCACTGTGGGTGGCCATGGCTTTAATTTGGCCACTGAAGACTTTTGACAGTTCAGGATGCCAAAACACACAGAAAACCTTCTCAAAGTTTAACTGTAAAACTGTAGGATGAAAGATTTTAGTGCAACATGGAGAAATGTTAAGGTACAAATTTCTATGATCAATGAGGCTGGAGAATCTTGAAGTTCTAGTAAGGAGATAATAAAAAAACAAAAGAGACACACGAGCCAATGTAAAAGAGCTCATGATAGTCAAAGCTGGAACAACTTGAGCAACAAAATAAAAATCATAACAAACTAAAAAAAAGATTGAATATAAATAGAGGGAGGGGAAGAGACACCTTTTCTTTACAGAAGAATTCCAATTAATGTAGACAGACACTTCTCTCCAGGGCTTAAAGCTTAATATTATACTTTCATGGAGAAAATTTGGAAAGGAGGAAGAATACAACGTCTCAGAGAAGAAATTACCAAATACTACTATGGTCAAATGATTAAAGTTAATAGCATTAGAAAATGATATTGATATCATGAGTTAGCTTTTGTGTGTGTGTGTGTGTGTGTGTGTGTGTGTGTGTGTGTGTGTGGTACTGGGGATCGAACTCAGGACCTTGAGCTTGCCAGGCAGGTGTTTAAGCCACTGAGCTATCTCCCCAGCCCTCTATGTTGATATCATGAGGACATCTGACTATGAGTTTTCCTCAAACCCTACAGCTACAGTGGTGTAATTATGACAAAAACATCAGAGAAACTCAAGTCATGGGACATTTTACAGAATACTTAAATAGATGGTCACATGAAGATCATGAAAAGTTAAAAAACACTGAAAAACCATCACAGACCGGAGAAGACTAATGAGATCTAATGACTACATGTAACATGGCATCTTGGATTGGGTCCTGGAAAAGAAAACACAAGGTAGTAAAACCAAAATAAAGACTGGAGTGTAGTCAATAGTAATGTACTAATGCCAGTTGCTTAGTTTGTAGATGTATTACAGCAATGTAAGAGGTTAACATTAGGGAAAACTGGGTGAGGGGTACACAGAAATTTTCTGTACTCTTTTGGCAATTATTCTGTAAATCTAAAATTAAAGTAAGTTATTATTTTTTTAAAAGGCAAAGCAAAAAAATATTGTATAATCAAAGTAGTTGAAAGTTCTTGTCCTAGTAACCTGTACAGAGCAAAGGGTTAGCATGGGAACAGCCCTGCCACCAGCAGCCATTCTTTGCCATTCTAAATGAAGCATTGTGTATTTTATTTTATTTTTTCCCCATAATTTTATTGAGAAACAAATAGCAATGAGACAGTTTCAAACCAAATTGGTAGGACAGTTTCAATAATTAACACATTGCATACATTCTTCCTACTGATTAATTGCTGTACAAGATGTGGACATGATATCCTATTTACAAACACTATTAGAACAAATCCCTCTATTCATCAAGAGAATGTAACTATCTATCCTAACCATTTTGAATACACAGATACAAAATGGACATTCATCCATATCCCCTTTTCTTGTTTAGTTCTGTCATTTGAACATTATAGGTGTGTGAACTCAGCAAAATATTCTAAAAGAATCCAGTAGTCCATAATAGTATTGGATCTTCCGCTTCACTGGCAATGCCAGAAATTGTTGACCTGAGTCCCCTACAGCTCAACATAACACCATGGCTTTACTTCTTATACTTCGTTTTTATACTTTTCTGCTGGATGGTTAAGACCAAGATAAAGCAAGATCTATGCAACAAGAGTTGTAGCTTTTGGGTCTGATAAGGTCAGTGAAATCCCCTCAGGATTTATCCTGAGATCCTGTACCTCAGATTGTAGATCCTTTGTCAGTGTCAGACAACTGGATAAGTCACAGCCATTGCTTGGCCAATGTGCTCTCTGTGAAAGCCTGAGAGAAAGTATTGTGTATTTTAAAGATAACTGAATGAACATAAAGCTGCTAACAGGTGAGATGCATTTGTTTTTCTTCCCTTTGTAAGTATGGGAGGTGGAGGCTCCTGGGGGCATCTGTGAGGACAGGTTCACTAAGCTGGGATTCTAGCTGTCTGTTGGAGTGGAGCCCATGGGCTTCATGTCCAGGCCTTTGGTGTACATCACGTCAGTGGATGACTGGTCTTGAGGTGAGCACAACACCTTAGGGCTTGGGCATGAGCCCAAGAGTCACTGTGAGCAGCAGAACCCAAGAATACAGGGCTGCTCCCAAGACCATGAGTTAGCAGGCAGGCCCATGACACTGTGATGTCATGATAAACATGTACTGACAGTCTGCAGCTTTATGTTTTAAACTTTTTTTTTTTGAGAGTGTGTTCATTAGATTAACTGATTAATTTTTTTATCCCCCAAATTTATGATGATATAAAAGTGAGACACGTTCAGTAGAAACCATACTTTGAATCCTGACCTATTCCCGGGCCAGTGACACATGATCCCCTTCTCAATGATGGGCAGCAAGTCAGCTGCAGCCCTAGAGAATAACTCATACACTGCAGTGTACTATGGTGGTGGTTGTGAGGTGGCGGCGAGAGGAGGCCTTTGTACCTGCCACAGGGCACAGCTGACCTGAGTCAGGGCCTCCACACTGCATCTGCTCTGGGCTCCTGGTGTCTGTTCATTATGAAGCCCTTCTAGCCACAGAACTCATGCTAAGGAGGTCACTCCTGGGGTGTTGATCACAGAGGCACCTTCTCTGTGTGTGTGTGTGTATGTGAGAATTTCTGCCCACCTGTCCCTTGGGAGGAGGACTGGAGATGGCCTAACCCCCCAATAACCAGTGAGTTCACCAGCCCTGTCTTGTAATAAAACCCTGCAAGACAATGGGGCTCAAGTGTGGGGGCCTGTATCGCTTCCCTCTGACCCTCCTGATTGACAGTTCTGTGATAAGTGGCAATCATGAGGAAACTATCCTGAGTCCTATGAGCTGTACTACAAATTATCCAATTTGAGGAGGTGCTGTGGGAGCTGGGTTGCAACAAACTGCACAGAGGTGGCATCTGAGCTGAGCCTGATGCTGGTGACTAGTGTCCTCAGGGAGGCTTCTTGGTCTCTGTTCCCCATACTCTAGCCAGGCATGCCCCAATTCCACCGTAAGCTGCTCATTTGCCTCTTCCTTACTCTAGAACTGGGACTTATGCCATCTGCCTGCCCTGTATTCAGCTCCACATCCTCTACAGACAGTGCCCCCAGTGAAAACTCTTCTACATGGTTTGAAGCCACCTCTATCCTGTAGCTGAGAGCTGTAGATGAGCACAGATCCCCGGCTTGGCAATCTGGAGAGCAGACCCGGTGTGATCTTTCGACAGGGATGGTTGGTGTGCTACCTCCCCCTGAAATCTGCATGCAAACAGCTCCAAGACTTTCCAGCACCTGGCCTGCGTGTGCGAATGGTTCACCAAAATATAGTCAGGTTACTTGTTCCCAGGGGCTGCTTCCTGTCATGGTGCTTGTGGGGTTCACAACATTTCCTCTTGGCATATTACTGGAAGTTGCTGATCAGGTCTATGGACAAAGAAGTTCTGGGGTCCCCAGAAGAACAGAGAGAGGGTTTCTGAGGGACATTTGATAGTAAAGACATCAGGTCAAAGAGAACCACTAAAGGTGCTGTTCTGATACGGAGGTACCGATACAGTGGCCCATGGTGCTGAACACACAACTGTGAGGGGAAGGCATCTCGGTGTTCAGACAGGATGCAAAGTGTTCACAGTTTGGAACTAAGAAGCTACAAAGGACAGTGAGAATCACAGAGATAGTCTCTTGGCCAAGAAGCACGCTGCAGACATCAGCTGTCCCAAGTCTGGGCTATGGGCTATGGACTGAAACATGGAGCAAGAGTCTCCTAGGACAGGGGTGAGTGCTGGCACCTGGATGTCAAGTGCTATCTTGGCTCCTGCCCTTAGCACATGGGCTTCCGGCAGGGACAGCGGCACAGAGAAGACTGTCCAAGGTGCTGAGACTTGGGCCTACACCTGGCAGTTGTGCCTGAAGCCCTGGGCTGAGGCCTGGGATAGGGCCTTTGGGAAACCAGCAGGGCAGCAGCCACACCTGCTGGAGGAGGGTGGGCTGTAGTGTAGCCCCTAGAGGGACAGTGCCCAGCTTGGCCCAGGGGCCTGGGAAAATTGAAATTCAGGTGGACTTGCCCCCAGGCTTGGCCAAGTGCTTGTCCCACCAGCCATCTACAAATCTTGTGCCCTGACTGTCCAGAGAAAGGTAGGACACCCTGCTTATGTGGAGCAGCACTGTGGTGGCGGGTGTGCTTCTTACCTCATAGTGGTAGTCCATGCAGGTGAGGTCCCACCAGCACTGGTCACCCCGGATTTTGATCAGGCCCTGTAGAGGTAAGAAAGCAGAGCATCAGGCATGGCTGGGACACCGGCAGGCAACAACGTGGCAAGACCTCCCAGCACTTGGGAGGCTGAGGCAGGAGGCCTGCTGTAAATTCGAGGTTAGCCTGGCCTATATAAGCAAATTCAAGGCCAGTTGGAAAAAAAGAAAAGTGAGGCCAGAGAGTCTGTGCTGTGAAGGGCTATGAACAATCAAAAAGTAAAATTTAACAAGCTGTACGGAAGGCAGACTCAGGACTTCTTTTGGTGGTGATGGTGGTGCAGGAGATCAAGTGAAGAGCCTTGCATATGCTAAGCAAGCATTCAACTGAGCTACATCTCCAGACCTTTTTATTTTGAGACAGGCTTAAGTTGCCCAAAGTGGCCTTGAACTCACAAACTTCCTGCCAAGTAGCTGGGATTACAGGCATGGGCCCCATTCAGGCCGTTTTGGATGACCACAAGTTAACAGATTTGTATTGCAGGTAGAAGGAAACAAGGGATTCCTTTTTATAATATCAGTACTTTCTTCAAAACTGATTTTTAAGTCTCTAAACATTATATAATAGGATAGCTATATGTCTTTGAAATAGACAAACTTCATAATCCACATGCACAAACCACGCTGTATAGATACCAAGGACAGTGTTAAAGGGATGACTCACAAGCTATCACCCCAACAGATGACGGGAAAGCTTCCGTGGAGGATAAAGTACTCTTACACAAATGAACCATTACTGTCACTTGAGTGAAACTCACACTCAGCCTGGGAACAGGGACCCTCCAGGTGGTAAGAACATGGGGGTGCTGGCAGAAAAAGTTTCCAGAACAGTGAAGAGCTGTCTGAATTGTGTCAGAGCAGGCCACGGACAGAACAGCTATGGAAAGCAGCGGCTCTGCCAGCAGTCAGTCAGCCCACAAAGTCCTTTCACACCGAGCAGTGTCTGGGTAGGAGGGTAGAAGGGTAGGAGGTCAGCTCTCAAGCATCAGCAGCACCAGGTGACTCCTAAGTCAGAAACACCTGTTTCCTGCTAGAACTGAAACCTTAGCCAGAGATGCAGAGATTTGGTTCTAATTTGTATTTCTTCCATATGAACCATCATTGAAGGTAAGAAATAATTTTAGGGAAAGAAGCCCAGTCTCTGCCAGAATCAGTGATTCCTGCAGCTATACTTATCCCTGGAAAAATTGGATTGGCCATCATTTACTTATCATCCATCATTTACTTATCATCCATCCATCCTTCACTACCCATCTATCACCTATTACCCATCCATCCACCCACCACCATTCATCCATCCATTGTACATACACTTATCACCCATTAACCATCCATTCACCCACCCACCACCCACTCCTCATCCATCAACCCATTACCCATCCATCCAGCTGTCTATAATTGATCCACTCATCCATGGTCCACCCATCATACATTTATCCCATCACCTACCTATCACCCATTATCTGCCCATCACTCATCCATTCATGGTCCATCCATTATTGATCCATCATTACCCACTCATCATCCAACACCTATCCACTTATCACCCATACATCATCTTTCCACCACTGACTTATCTTTCTATCATCTATCCACTGATCCATCCATCTATCTATCACCTATACAACTCTTCCATTACCATCCATCCACTCACCTATCCTTCCATCTGTCCATCATCAGCCCACTCATCCATCATCTATCCAATATCCACTTAGCCATTCATCCACCCTCTATCCACTCATCCATCCATCCATCCATCCATCCATCCATCCATCCATCCATCCACCTACCATTCACTTTCAGACCTAGACTGAGAGGCCATGAAGTCCAGGTGGGCACAAAAGAGGCCACATTCTAGTGAGGGTGGACAGGCATGTCAAAGGGGCACCGAAAAAAAGGCCAGGAGGAGTTTCTCAGGCTGTTTTGATAAAAATCACAAACGGCTGATTTATAAACAGAAATTTATTTCTCACAGACTGGAGGCTAGACATCTGAAGCCAGGAATGCTGGTATAGTTGGTTCTGGTGAGGGTCTGTTTCTGAGTTGTAGATGACTGACCTATTGCTATGCCCTCAGATGGCAGAAAAAGAGTGAGGAGTCTCTCAAGGGACCCTTCTATTAGGGCACTAATTACACTCACAAGGGTTTCCCCTAAGGTGATACTAACATGGTTGCTGTGTAATGATAGTAGTGTGAAGGCTTAGGTCATGCATGTGAGCATGGCAAGACAGGTGTGTAGGGAGCAAAAAGGATAGGAAAGGCCAGGACATGCAAACCCAGAGGGTCCCTGGAACCCAGACCCAACCCATGGCACACTGCATGAGGCCAACCACAGCAAAGGAATGGTGGTGCTGGTTAGAAAGCCCAAGATCCAGAGGCCATCAGGAAGGACAATCAGAATTCTGGGCAGGTATATAAGTGAAACATAAGAGGTACACTAGGAAGTTGAGGAAATGGGCTGGTACTGGGGATGATGCACAAGTGTAAGAGCCAACAGGGATGGTGGCCTGGCCCTGGAAGACAGAGCTCAGATGCAGCAACTGGCCACCAGAGGGCAGATGAGAGATCCCTGGGGGACCTAGAAAGAGACCAGGGACACCTGCAGGAACCCTGTGTGGATGGAACACACCGTGTTTCCTCCTAACTAGAAGAGGGGCCACTTCCTGCTTCAGTGTATGTCTCTAGCGTTGCTCAGGTCCCATGGGTACCCGCCTGCTGACATTACAGGACAGCAGTGTGTAACACTGAGAATCACATGGAGCCAGAGCAGTGCTATTTAGAGACTTGCTGGCTGTGTTATGGTGAGGACCGAGCCAGTCTACAGAAACTGGTTCAGTCAGATCACAGGCACCACGAGGCAGTGCCCAGACATAAATCTTTTCCTGCACATCTATGGTGCTCATACAAGTTGGGAATGTCCATTCAACCAGGGTCAGACTGAGCCTACCACCAGAGACTCATCCTGTATCCACTCAGGCAGAACTGATGGCTTCTTCTGCTGGGCAGGAAAGTGGGCGCCACTTTGGCATCTGTGAAGCTCAGCATCCTACATCCCCACAGAACCCAAGAGTGGGACTCTTTGGAGATTCAAACCAGGAAAAAAAAAACACAAAATAATTAAGATGTCACTCAAATTCTAAGTTGATATGAGACACTTAAAAAGCTGAATCTTCCTCCAGGAGTGGAGAATAATTATGCCCTCCCTCAGCTCACTCCAGCGTTGCAGATGTCAGATTTCCACAGCTTCTTTCTTCCAGAGGAAGTGTCAAGGGAACAAAGCTCTCTTTGAGCCTCTTCCAGCCCAAAATTAATTTTGAAAAATGCCACAGACAGGCCACAGCATGCCAGACCCACAGGAGCCAAGTGACCTACAGTTGTCCTGTGACCCTCCTACCCCCTGCTTGAGAAAGACAGCACCAAGATGCTGGAACATTCCAGGCCAATGGATGATGTCTTGATTTTGCACTGAGTGGGGACACAGGTGCTTTTCAAAAACTCACTCTGAACATGGAGATGCCCTGGCCTCAAGCACAGAAAGGAAAGCCTGAATGCTGCTTTGGAACCTTGGCTGGAGAGGCCAGATGACAGCCTCTTTCTGCTCTGTGAGCACTTAGTCGGACCTTTGCTTCCCTAGAGTAACAAGGGCTGGAGGACTAGCTGTGCCCCTGTGAGTAGGCGCAGGGCGCAGCCTCAACCAGCATGACTGTCTCTCTCTCATACAGGAACTGAACTCCCACACAGGTTGCTCGCATGCTCTGCAAGACACTGCAGCTCAGCACCACAGAGACTAGCGCATGGTTCACTCGTGTGATATAAGCACATGTTCGCCAGCTTCCTAAGACTCAGTTGTCTCCACGTTTGGAGGGATCAGCCCAGGTGTTACCTAGAGCCCCCATCCATGCCAGACCTCAGGCCAGATCAGCTTTTGTGGGTTAGGGAATTGCTGCTAGAGGTGGTAGTGCCACCCAAATGTGCTCAGGTTGCAGACTCACAAACAGCCCCTGGCTCAGCTGTTTGCAAAGACTAGGGTGTAACTCAGTAGTGCAGCATTTGTGCGGCATGAGCTGGGCTCTGGGTTCAACTCCCAGCCACAGAAAAACATTCTGGATCTCAAGGCTGTAGTCTAATGATCCAGTAAGGACCTGGTCAGAAAAGCGAGGACAGCCTTTTCCCCGTGAGTAGAGCCCCGACACCTTCTGTGAGCAGCAGGTGGCCAAATCTGAGGGTTGCAGTGAGCCTTGAAAGCCCTGGTCTGAAGTCACACGCTATAGTTCTACCAAAACACCACTACCTCACAGCCCCAAACTGACTATGACCTAACAGTTTAGTGGTGGAAATGATGAAAAGAAAAATAAATTCACTGCAGTTTGGTGCCTCCGAAGTATACAGATATGCTGCAAACACTCAGAGCTTTGTAAAGAATCATCTTCTAGAGGTTACTGTCCTATTTCAGCAAGTTATACCACTACATAAATTCATTTGACTGTGATAATTTTCTTAATTTAGAAAAATCCAAGAGATTTCAGTGTCACTATCTGTTTCCCTTTTCATCAGGCAATGTGGGATTAAACAACGTGTCTGAGCTTGTGAGCGCTCTACAAAGGTATGTCTGGTAAGCATAGTTCTTTGTAGTTCGTGGCAGGATAACCAGTGGATGGAAACTTTCTTGCATGAGGGAAGAGTAGCTGGTAGAGCTGTTTTGTGTAATCCTGAAGTTGCTTTGAAAATCACCATGACAACTCTGGAGTGTGAGCGCCTCTGAGGAAGGGCTGTGAGAAGTGGGCAGGGGTTCTGAAAGTCGCTGGCCACATTAGGGACCTGATGCCTTTTTAAGCCCCTGAAGATGGCTATTTTTCTGCCCCTGGCTGCACTGAGACAGACTGCTGAAGATCAGAGACTTGAAGAGGCCCTCACTTGGGGTCGTGGGGTGGAGGCCTGCATCTGGGGGTCAGAGGTCAGGACACTGCAGACATCATGTTCCAAAAATTCCCACCATGTCTCTGAGC